CTTCCCTTGCGCCGCAAAGGACGTGAGCGTTTCCGGAAAATGCCTGCGACGCTTTCCTGGTTTGACCCTGGCTAAGATTTCCGGTCTTACTGGCCAGCAGTGTCCCCAAGCTGCTTACACCGTCCAGACGGGTCACACGCACCTGCTCCCCACCCCCCTAGGCTGAGAGAAATCAGCCCGTCAGAGCGAGACCAGAATCACACGACCTCTTACGTGTGGAATGTAATGAACACAATGAGCTGACGGACAAAACAGATCCGGAGACGTGGAAGCGGGGAGCAGACTGAGGGACCTCGGGGTGGCGAGGCGGGGCCCAGGGGGGAAGGGAGGGACATCTGTAATACTCTCAACAATAAAGATTAAATTTTAAAAAATGTCAGTGTGAGCCCTGGCCAGTTTGGCTCAGCGGTTGGAGCGTTGGCCTGCGGTCCAGAGAGACCCGGGTTCGGTTCCCGCTAAGGGCACGTACCTCAGTTGCAGTTTGTCCCCGGCCCTGGTTGGGTCGTGCGGGTGGCAGCCACTCGATGTGTCCCTTTCACGTCGATGTTTCCCTCTCTCTCTCTTCCTCTCTCTCCCTCCCGCTCTGTCTGAACAAAAAATGCAAAAATGTCCTCGGGTGAGGATAAAAAAAAAAAATGTCAGTGTGTGTACGTCTCCTTGACCGTGGGGTTCGGTTACAGGAACCTGGAGGGATGGAGCAAGTGCTTTCGGTCATTAAATCCTCAAAGTTGAACCAACAAAATATTCTCCGAGGAGCTCAGATTACAATTAGGTGCTAGAATTATGTCACCATGGAATGTATTCGAAACACACGCATACATGCCCACACATGTACACAACGCATGTGTGCATGTGCACACACATGTACACAAAGGATTGAGTCCAGGGAAACCTTTCTTCCACACGATGTTCCAGCTTTTCAATGAAAACCCCAGGCAGGAACTTTGAGAGCATTTGCTTACAATTCCCAGCATCTGTGGCCCACTGACCTTATGACTCATCAAAAGTTTTATCTGAGAAAGATGGATTGTTGCAGCTATTTGTAAGGAAACATGCCTGGCTGGTGGGGCTCCGTGGTTGAGCATTGACCCTGTACCAGGAGGTCGCCAGTTCGATTCCCGGTCAGGGCACAGGCCCAGGTAGTGGGCTTGATCCCCAGTTGGGGGCGTGCAGGAGGCGGCCAGTCGATGTTCTCTCATCAATGTTTCTCTCTCCCTCTCCCTTCCTCTCTCTCTAAAATTAATAAAGAAAAATACTTTTAAAAAAGGAACATGCTAATGAATAACTTATTACTGTGTTAACTTTTATCGACTCTCTGCTAGCCCAATGTGGCAAGAGTTATAATTGATTAGAAATCTGCTTCTCCACCAAACTGAATCTTCTAGGGCAGTGATTCTCAACCTTCCTCATGCCACTACCGTTTATTTTTTTTTACTTCATTTTTTTTGGTGGTACGTGCCCACAGGTTGAGACTCGCTGTTCTAGGGGAACTGTTTTTAGTTTGTTGTTTTTAACTTCCTTCCTACACAGCAGGTTCTCCTAATACATATCATGTCAGTACGCATGTTATATATCCTGTACATTGAAACCACAGTATACCCACAGGCCACGTGCCGTGTACACTGTATCAGGAGGGGCATCTGCGTGAACGGACAGGTTTCTAGTGTCCCTGTCCCTGCACACCCCCGACGTACAGATCGGAACATGTGTCCTCGGAGGCTTTCTGAGCGTCTCCAGCGATCGGTAGCATGAGCAATGGGGTGTTAACCCTTGGCAAACACGGACACGGACTTGGTGGTGTAACAGCCAGCATGAAATAAGACCCGAGAAGGGATAACGCGTCACGAGAGGGTTCGCTTTCCACGGCGGAGGAGTTTACTAACTCATCCCTAATTGACTTCGAAGATGCATTTCTTCTGTTCTATCCTGTTTCTTTGAGGTTTACCAAGCCCATCAAACATACACATCGAGGGGACCACGCTTCTCCTCTGAATTTCTGTCGATGCTTCTAGCAAGTCACTGCCTGGGAACCAGACGGCGGCGGTTCCCTCAGCCGCTCCACGAGCGGCCCACCTTCACCCCACAGTGTCATCGAGACACCCCCTATCTGGAATGTCTCCTGAAGAAGCAAATGGGGCCTAATTATATCAACGGGACGGCTGCGGCTTCGTGTGGATGGAGATCTGCCTGGTCCAGACGCCCCCAGGAGCCTCCGCGTGCTCTGGGTGCTCCGGGCTGTGCACCCCACCCGGGCCCTGTCTGGGGAACGCTCCCCGGAACGAACACAGGCAGGGGCTTTTCTGAAGCAGCGGACTCATGGGACTGAACTCGGTTAGTGCTGAGAACCAACACAGTTCACGCGAAACCTTTACAGAGATGGGTGTAGACAGAAAGACGGGAGAGAAGGTGGAAGCGTCTAAGATGAGAGGAGAGACAGGTATAAGACAAGCGGTGGACGTTCCGGGTTTCATCCGGCACTTTGCAGTTGGGTCAGGTTGAACCATGACCTTCACCATGTCAAAGAGCATGCTCCCCAGTGTTACCTGGGCCGAGTACCCGGCGTCTGGAGAAACTGGAGGGAAATGAAACGTGGATCAAACCACGAAGGAAAGAGCAGCCGGAACCGAACCCTCCCTCCCTGCCCTGTGCTGGCCTGCGGGAGGGGAGCCCAGACATTCCCAGGGGGAATGGGGGCCACATGCTTGTGGTCAGAGCTTCAGCCTGGAAGCATCCTGACCTCTCCTCCCCACGGGGGCGCCTCACTCCGGACTGGCTGGCAGCAGGTCTGGCTCACTCCTGCCCAGACAGCAAGACCTTGTCCTCCACCAGGCCCAGCCCACTGCTGGTCCAGGATCCCACCTGGAGTGCTGGCATTTCTCAGTCTCTGCCTCCAGCTCCCCGAAAAGCCGTCCACATGCCTCTTCCTCGTCTCAGCCCAGGAGGCCCATGGGAGAGGTTTCATCAGCTGGTGACTGTGTTGGGCTTATCGTGGCTCCCCCAAAGCAGGGCCCCCTTGTGGCGCCGTCAGGGCAGCAGTGCCCAGCCGTGCCCACCGGCCCTTGGTTGTGTCCTGCTGGGTGGTCTGCAGAGCCTGGCAGAACACGCTCACCCCAGAACGCCCACCATGCACGCACCGGATGGGACAGCCCTGCGAGTCCTTGGTGGGCAAAGGGCACGGCGACTCCATGTCACCCCAGGGGCTGCCTGCGTCATCCTGACCTGGAGGCTGGGCAGCCCTGGGTGGCGGCGCCCTGGGCAGGTGAGTCCAGGAGCAGCTGGGGTGGTGGCGGAGCCTCAGGGACAGGCTGAGAGGGTGGACAGCGGTAGGCGAGGTTGTGCCCTCGGGGAGGCCTTTCTGCCTTCACCCCATCGCACTCTCGTATCGTGTTTCCTCGTGACACTCTCATGGGACGTTCATAGAACCGCAACAAACATGAGGACGTTCGCGTATCCCCTTCATTTGATACAATTAATTCTCTTCCTAATATTTCTTTTTAAAAAAGCATCTAGATTGAGGCATTCCAGCCTCCAAATTGCCAAAACAATATAACGCAGTCTGTTGCCAATGCCCCGGCCGGGTCTTTCAGCCCGGTGACCTCTGCACCCCGCACCGCAAAGCAGCAGTCTTCACTGGGTCCCCGTGGAACTGGGAGCAAGTTCGTTACCGTTAATTCAGCCCCAAACAGAATGGGTCCCCAAAACAAAGGAACCCACTCGTTTTAGTATTTCTTCCCTGAAGCCTTTCAGAACCGTCCCAAATATCACTTCACGTGGTTTAACCTGCTGGAAACCAGACATGCAGAACATGCTACTTTCCGAAAGGTGTCTCAACGTAAAGCAAACTAAAAAGAACGATCTCTAAACTCTAAAGAGGCCATATATTTGTAATACAGACTTAACACTTCTTTTGATAGAGAAATAAATACAAAAGCCTCGTCAGCAATTATCAGATTGTTGTTTTATTCTATTTACGGGTGTTTGTGTTCCCGATGTTTGTGTTAATAGTTTCTAGTGGAAAATGATGTTTCACTCATAGGCACACGTATCTTTTACGTGGCTCTGTACAAGCCCCCTCGAAATCAAATGCTACTGTTACGTGTTTTACAGACGAGAACTCGGGGGCTCAGGGCAGTCAGTTCACTTGCCTGAAGCCACACAGCGTCGATGAGGAAGACCTGCCTCCTCCAGGCTGGGAGCAGGGCCTGGCAGACTGTAGGGCCCTCGGGAAAATTCAAACGAACAACCCACTGAAGAGCGGAGGAGATGTATGCGGCTCCGGTCCGTGGACGTGAGCCCCGGAGGGTACGGTCCGCTCACTCCAACCGGGGAGCCTTCTGTCCCAGCAGCCCCCCAGTGTATGACAGGGAACCTCAGACAGCGAGATTTCCCTGACCTGTGGAAGCTGGACAAGGAGACAAAACTGACCTCACAGAAATGAATCAGGATGGCCAACCCCGGGGCGGGGGCGGTGAAGGGAGCCCAAGGTGCACACGTCGAGTTACAAGATGGTTAGGTTCTGGGGTGCCATGTACAGCGTGACTTACTTAACCATACTGTTTTATACGCGTACTTGAAAGTTGCTGAGAGAGCAGATATAAAAGGTTTCCTTACAAGGAAAGAGTGCGTAACTGCGTGAGATGGTGCGCGGCATCTGTGTTCACAGTGGTGACGCTTTCACAGTACACGGTGTGTCCCGTGATTACGTTCACGCCTCCCACGGATGCAGGGCTACAGGTCAGGGACATCTCCATGCGCCCGAGGGAGCGGTGCAGACGCAGCGGCGTGACCAGCAGGGGGCGGCCACACCGAGAAGACGGGCTTTGTCCCTGAATCCCAGACAGCTCTCTGCCCCACACCAGCATGCATGGGCCCCGGCAGCGCAACTGCTCAGTTCAAACGGCAGGACGGGAGGGCGCAGGGCACTTGCCAGGCTGCTGGTCCTGCGCGGTGGGCCCCGCCCGCGTGCCCGGAGCACCTGCTGCCAGGTGAGGTGAGCCTACCTTGTCGGGGTCCGTGGTGGTGATCACCCACACGCAGTGCGCGTTGTCCTCGTACTGCACCGGGTAGTTGGGGGAGGTGATGACGCCGCTGGGTCCACGCAGGTTTGACCCACACGTTCGAGCTGCAAACACAGAGGAGACATTATGGCCCACAGCGTCCCGTCTGGGCGGCGAACACAGAAGACACACGCATCGCTCAGGGGGCCGTCCACCCAGCATGACGAAGAGTCTCCGGGACTCGAGGTGCCCAGGGGCCGTAGCTCAGCACGCGGGACCCTGGTGTGTACTGCAGCGTCCCCTGAACCCTTGGTTCTTGACGACGGCCAAGGCATTCCCACCCACAGGGGCTCACTGAGGGCACCGCGTGGACAGCGGCACGTCCACGAGTCCCTCTCCCACCCCGTCCGGGCTCAAAGGCAGTCGTGTACACTGCTGGTGGCACGTGGGTGGGTGGACAGTGGGGAGAGCACAGGGCCACGGGCTCAGGAGACCAGAGTCAGCGTCTCAGCCAACCGTGCAACACGGGGCCTGGGTGAGTGTCACACAGCTTCGTCCTGTCACCTCACGGGCCCTGGGTCAGTGCCACACAGCTTCGTCCTGTCACCTCCCGGGGCCCTGGGTGAGTGCCACACAGCTTCGTCCTGTCACCTCACGGGCCCTGGGTCAGTGCCACACAGCTTCGTCCTGTCACCTCACGGGGTCCTGGGTCAGTGCCACACAGCTTCGTCCTGTCACCTCACGGGGCCTGGGTCAGTGCCACACAGCTTCGTCCTGTCACCTCACGGGGCCTGGGTCAGTGCCACGCAGCTTCGTCCTGTCACCTCACGGGCCCTGGGTCAGTGCCACACAGCTTCGTCCTGTCACCTCACGGGCCTGGGTCAGTGCCACACACAGCTTCATCCTGTCACCTCACGGGGCCCTGGGTGAGTGCCACACAGCTTCGTCCTGTCATCTCACGGGGCCTGGGTCAGTGCCACACACAGCTTCGTCCTGTCACCTCACGGGGCCCTGGGTGAGTGCCACACAGCTTCGTCCTGTCACCTCACGGCGCTGAAGGACCAGGTGACCCCACTGTCTCTCCCACACAAACCGATTTCCTCTCAGCACAGGGCCAAGGGCAACTTCAAACACACGTGCATGTTTGAAGCAAAAACACGGCCACAGTGACCCTTCGAGGGGGCTGACCCAGCAGATCGGGGGGAGGCCAGCACCCCACACGCGTGACTACGTCTGGAACACAAAACCATTTCAACCGACCTCCTCGTTCAGAAAGGAGGCATTTTCCTTTCGAGTCAGCAGACGGCTTTTGGGATCGAGTGTCGGCCTGAAGGAGTCCGGTTTTCACAGGAAGACGTGGAACTTGGTTTGGGAGAATGAGAACCGCATTTAGCAGAGAGCGAACATGAGAGGGGTCTGCTTTCTTCCCCTAAGTCACCAGGTCCGGGGCACCCCCGGAGCCGTCACCAAGGAAGGATCAGCCCTCACCACGGCGCTTCCCGCCTTCCCTGCTGGCTGACCACCCACAGCCGGTCAGGTGCTGTCCTGGGAGGTTCGGCTACACAGGGAGACGGAACAGGGTTCCGGGCGCCAAGGGCCACACTGCGGGGGGGCTGGAGAAGCCAGGTAGTGGGCGCTCACTGACCGCCCCCAGGGCTGAGGCTTCTCCTTCCCATTTGTGCTGAAACGCAGGAGCGCGGAGCCTGTCCCTCCCTCGACCTCTGCTGTGCGCAACCACTCCCTGACCGCTGTCTCTGTACGTGCTGAGCCCCGTGCCCTCGGAGACAGCAGCCCTTCACCTTCCCCGCCATGTCCAGTGTCCCCCCCACACACGAGGTTACTTCAGATCGCTTTTCAGTGGCTGGATACGGACGTACCATGAAAGCGATCCACCAAAAATTACCCTGCTGCGCATTGATGAGCTAAAACATATCAAATGAAGTTATAAAACACTGGCATTTACTTTCCAAACAAACGTTTCTTTCTTTTTTTTTTTTTTTTATCCTCACCCGAGGACATTTTTCCATTTTTTGTTCAGGTAGAGTGGGAGTGGAGAGAGAGAGAAACATCGACGTGAAGGGACACATCGAGTGGCTGCCACCCGCACGACCGACCAGGGCCCGGGACAAACTGCAACCGAGGTACATGCCCTTAGCGGGAACCGAACCCGGGTCTCTCTGGACTGCAGGCCGACGCTCTAACCGCTGAGCCAAACCGGCCAGGGCCAAACCAACATTTCTTAAACGAAAGTGGATCTGAGGGGATCTGGTCTACAAAGCGCAGTGGGTGTGCAGTCGCCTGCGAGTCGCTTAACAGAACTGCAGGGGGACAGACACCTCCTACACGCCCACAGTTGGGGCGCTAATGGGTTTATTTCTAGAAGCTTCTCAGAGGGGATCATGAACTTCACATGTAAAACGTTCCTAAAGCAGGAAAACGTCCACCGTGTTAACGAGAGAACCCGAGAGGCTCAGTTTCCATGAGCACAACGCGTCACACTACCTTCACACGACACAGTCACCCGTGTGGCATGTCACACGGGATGGCTGATGTGAAACGTAATATGGTTTTATTCCAAATATATGTGTCGACTTAATTTTGAACTGATATTACCAAGGTGCCATTCTCAATAGTTCAAACTCTGGGAAAACCCACATCTGAGGAATCAGGCGTGTCCCCGCTGACGACCTGTCGTCATCCTCCTGGGACCTTCCCCGGACCTGCCCGTGCCCAGCGCCTGGTGCTGTCAGCTCGGACCCTGACCTCTAGCTCGGCGTGTGAAACCTGTCCCCTGCTCTCTCTGAAACCCCTCCGGCCCGCTGCTCAGGGAAACGGATTTTCAGTGACATGACCATCCGTGAAATATGTGCAGGAAACCAACGCATGTTCCCATTTCAGGCACACTCCGCGCGGTGTGTCTCAGAGAGCAGGTTAGGGACCCAGCCCCTTCTGAGATTGTTCTCACCTAAGCTCCTTGAAAGGATCCTCCAAAGGATCTCTACCTTTAAAACCCACTTTTCTAACACATTAAAAATGTTTACTCCTTTTGACAACAATTTTTTTTTTTTTTATCCTCACCCGAGGACATTTTTCCACTTTTTGTTCAGATAGAGTGGGAGGGAGAGAGAGGGAGAGAGAGAGAGAGAAACATCGACGTGAAAGAGGCACATCGAGTGGCTGCCACCCACACACCCAACCAGGGCCGGGGACAAACTGCAACCGAGGTACATGCCCTTAGCGGGAACTGAACCCGGGTCTCTCCGGACCGCAGGCCGACGCTCTAACCGCTGAGCCAAACCAGCCAGGGCTTGACAATTTTAATCAAGCCATCGAAACACTCAGCTGAAGCGAAATGTGTGAAAATGTTCAGGCAGCGTGATTCTGACATTCAGTAGTTCCCGGCACAGTTACCTGTTTGAAGAGTGTAACTACTGTAGACAGTGCGACCTGACTGCGTGCTTCAGTGACGCTCTGTGTCATTCCTTCTCGGAAGTTGTTGACGTTGGCTAGTACCTGACGCGGTCGTTGCCCTTCGGCACCTCCCGTCCAGGTCCCCTGCTCCTTCCTGCCCACCGCGCGACGCCCGTGAGGACGCACGGGCAGTATTACTGCTTCGAGCTTCTCCTGCCGTCCACGGACCTCTCAGGTTTCCATCGGCAGCGACGCCAAGTCCAGTCGCCGTGTGTGAGCTTTGTCAGGTGACAACGTCCGGTCACCGTGCCTTCCCTGTTCCACGGGTGGGTCAAGTCCAGACCCCACGCTCACGTCTCCATCGCCTGAAGGCCCCCTGTCCCCTGGGGTTTTCCTTCTAGTCTGTGGTGCTGTGGCAGGAAGGGTTACATTAAAATGGACTTCTCTGAATTGTCAAGTGGAGAGAGAGGCTTTAAGCCAAAGCACTTCCTCTGACACACCCAATATCGTCCACGCCATCAGCCTCAGGACCTGAAGGCTGAATTTTGTCCTGTCCACTGTATGTTAAATTCCTTAAAAATTCAATGTTTGGGCCCAGCCGGTGTGGCTCAGTGGATTGAGCATCGACCCTGCACTGAGAGGTCCTGGTTCGATTCCCGGTCAGGGCACATGCCCGGGCTGTGGGCTCGATCCCCAGTAGGGGGCGTGCAGGAGGCAGCCAGTCCATGTTTCTCTCTCACATCAATGTTTCTATCTCTCTCTACCTTTCTCTCTCTCTAAAAAATCAATACAAATATATTTTTAAAAATTCAAAATTTGGGAAAAGAAGAGGAGAACACAGAGCAGCCGGGGGGAGATGACCCCTGACCATGAGCTCCTCTGAAACTCCTGCGGTGAGCGCACATGGTCCCGTCACAGGGCCATCGACCGCTGCGGGCTCTCCGCCCTGGGATCGTGCTCTGTGACTGGTGCTGGACAAGCCAGCCTGCAGGACAGGAAGAGAGAGCAGGAGCTCCGGGAATCGGGGCCACACTTCTAGACCCTTCTGAAGGGGAAGGCTGGTGTCCGTTTATCAACAAACTCCATGTCTGTTGCTTTGCCAGCTGCTTCTGAGCCGTATTAAATGTGAACTCGTGTCCAGCGTTTCACCAGACGAGGCCCTTGGACCTGACTCGGAAGGCAGACACCGGGCGCGTTCTCACCTTGCTCATCTCCTCCACCCTCCGGCCCTTGGCTGGCTCTTCACTCCCTCCCTCCCCGGGAAGGGACTGTGCAGCTTCTCAGACCTGCTGGTGTGACCCGGCCCGATAATGACTGAGAGGTGTCCCAGTGTCCTCGGAGATGGACGCTCCTTCCCCTAAAGTAGCTTCCGTGTGAAATGTGTTCAATTCGTCAACCGATTTTTTAATAGAGCAACATAATCAACTTCAGTGGACGCGTGCCAATCGAGTTTTTACAGCAAGACTTAAGTATGTTTCCATAATTGAAACACACAGGGCGTGTTTACACATATTTTACCAAAAGAACTGTAGGTTGCGAGAGAAGCCCGGGCCACGGACAACACTGTGGTGACTTCGGGGGCGGAGGAGGAAGAGGGTGTGGAGGGGATGAACGGTGATGAGAAAATAGAACAGAATATCTTTTTGCAAATTTGTAACATGTAATGTAACGTAATGTATATGTAAATGCTTAATAATGCTTAATGAATGGTCTT